CTCCTTGTGAAGCTCCCCCAAATTCTTGCTGGTGCACTTTTTCCTACCGCACTTTTTCCTACTACACTTTTTCCTTCCACTCAACTTTCTATGAATATGCTTGGATACAGCACTCTGTGAACAACCAGCTTATTTGGCAATGAACTTCTGTGGCTTACCCTCCTTGTGGAGGGTGTCAATGACTGTCTTCTGGACAACTGTCAAGTCAGCAGTCTTCCCCATGATTGTGTAGCCTACTGACCCAGACTGAGAGACCATTTAAAGGCTCAGGAAACCTTTGCAGGTGTTTTGAGGTAATTAGCTGATTAGGGTGTGACACCATGACTTTCCAATATTGAACTTTTTCACAATATTCAAATTTTCTGAGACACTGAATTTTGGGTTTTCATTATCTGTAAGCCATAATCATCAAAATTTCAAGAAATAAAGGCTTGAAATATTTCACTCTATGTGTAATGAATCTATATAATATATGGGTTTCACTTTCTGAAATGAGTGACAAAAATTATTGACCTTTTTCATGATATTCTGATTTTTTTAGATGTACCTGTATGTAGAAATCTAATGGTTTTTAAAGATATGAAGTGAAACTGAAATCTACAGGTACACATCGACTATAGTACTAGTCTGAAACAGCACTTTATTAAAAGCCAAATTGCCAAAATCTCATAATTGAACAATGCATAAAAAAAATAATAAAAATAAAAAGTTTTAGCCTGTAGTGTCTTACCTTAATTATAAATTTTAATTAGTAATTTAAGTATTTAAGTTGATGCTGTCTGTTTATATGTTTCCTAAGCTCATGAATGACTTAATTCTTTCTATGATTCAAAACTCTGACTCATGCTAAATCTGGCAACACTGCGCTTTGTGTGACAAAATCAACAAAAGAATCAAGAATCAACAAAAATGGTTATTTAGGGGGAAAAAATATCGGTGAAATAGCGTACACGGCCATTTGTGACACACACCAGGATCCGGAGCAGCAGTCTGGATCTATGTATTGTAGGCTAATGTTCATTCTATTTTAACCACACACAGTCTAAGATGTGTGTGTGCGTGCGTGTGTGTGCGTGTGTTCTGCACTGCGACTGAATTTCGTCAGTTTATTATTTATTACATTATTCAGTTCTAGCCCAAATTAAGTGGCACTTTTAATAGGACTAACTACTGAGTTAAAATATCTATATATTTCTATAATCTTACTTTGTGTAGTTGTAAAGATGTGAAAACTGGAATGATGCTCATGTTTTGATCCGCTGGACTGGACAGTTCTCTCTCTGGCCTCAACTAACTTCTCTCGTTTCTCTCTTTCTCTCATGCAAATGTTGTTCTATGGCCTGCAGTTGCTATTTTGTTTGCATTAGGCCACTCTCTGACTTTTTTCTTTTTATTATACCTGTGCATCACATCTTTTTGAAGTTGACTGTTTTCATCTTCAGAGACAATTGTTTCACTTTCAGCATTCAAATCCTCCCATAAAGGGGTCATAGGATGCCCATTTTCCACAAGTTGATATGATTCTTTAGGGTCTTAATGAAAAGTCTGTAACATAGTTTGGTTACAATTTCTCAATGGTAGTGTAAAACAACACCCTTTTTACCCGGTCATAAACAGCTCTTTTCAGATCAAGCCGTTTTTGTCATTTTCCCAGAGGTGTAAAGTATTGGAGTAAATGTACTTAGTTACTGTACTTGAGTATCTTTTCGGGTACTTTGTAGTTACTGAGTACTGAGTATCAAAGATATTAACAACTTTTACTCTCTACTTCACTACATTTTTGAATGAGTATCTGTACTCTTTACTCCACTACATTTGAAATGAGTGTTGCAGTTACACATTACATCTTCCATGGACCTAGCTTTTTCTGCAGCAGTTTATTTCTGCTACAAAAGACGTGATACTGCCTATTACAGGTCACTGAAAGTACTGTATCTTGTGCGTTTTGCCCTCACTCACCCAAACTTGTCAACAAGGCTACTTTATGTGAATGCGAGTTCCTTAGCAAGTATTTGTGAATCAGAGGTGTTTTATATACGAGATGAGGACGTGACTGCAGCCGGCAATGAGGCCCAAACTAGCACATCCACTGCTAGAAGGCTTCGGCTTTTTAATTTTACTTAACATTATTTTATTTATCCATTATACTGAAGAGACCTTTTTGAAAGATATTGTTTTTTGTTTGTAATTTTGAGGTGTTCAGTTTTATTTCGGTTTTAGAAAATAAATGTGATTGCTCTCCTCACAAATGAACTCTTTCTTGTTTTTGTTTCATGCTCTCTGTGCCTTGCCCTGGACTTTTGTCACTTCCTGTCTCCCGTGGTGTTTGTAGTCAGTTTGTAGTCGGTTTGTTCATTGGTTCCCCTTGATTAGTCTCCCCAGGTGTGTCTTATCATGTTAAGCTTGTTAGCCCCCTGTGTATATACTGTATATATAGCCCTAGTTTTTCTTTAGTTCCTTGTGAGTTGTTGAATGTAATGGTTGTCTGTTTGCCAGTCATTCTATTCGTTCTTCCCTTTGGTTTTCAGAGAGACTGTTTACTTTAGCCGCATTCATCGTAAAACTTGCTAATTAGCACATTACTAGGAAAGGCGATTTGTAAAGATTCATTACAAAACATCATACTCACTTCTGTAGATGAGGCTGGATCATGAATGATTCGCGCAAACATAGACGCATTTATGTAGATCGGGGGAGCATTCCCTTCAGAAACAAATGTAATCCACTGCGTCTTCAGCGGCTCAGATGTCGGGAGTAAATGACGACTGCTATGTTCATTATTACATCCAACAACAGAAGACCTCGATCGCTCAGGAGTCATTCTTGTCTACATCTGCTCCGGCGGTGAAACAATGGTGGACTGATGACAGCTCACTCAGGGGCGGAGCTAAGGTAAGACACCAGTCCAGTCTGTGCTGAAACACTGCTGTCAATCAAACTATCGTGGGAGGGGCCTGTCTGTGTGACGTCACACTGACAGGCATCTGAGATCAGCTCGATTTGAGAAAGAGGAAAACATTTAACCAGATTTTTAAATGAAATTAAAAAAAAAAGAAAATTATCATTATAGGGTGGTTGTGTACACACACTGCCAACACACATTTCAGTTCAAACAGCTTGTAAAAGTGCATGTAGCATCCTATGACCCCTTTAAGAGATTAGATTGTGCTTTAAGGTCTCTAGGTCCTTCTCGTGAGCATTTTTCGATTCTCTCACTCTCTCTGTATGCTTTCGTTCTAATTCTGTAAATTGTCTCTCTTTGTTTTCTAAGAATTCTCCTGCCACTTCTCTTTCAACTTCAAACTCTGTTTGAAAGTAACATTTGGCATTTAGGTAGTAGTTTCAATTATTTCTGAAAAAGTCTGAGTCTTTATTTTGGATTCCCTCAACATTTTGATAAGTGTTCGTACAGATGACAGCACATCTTAACACAGCTGTTTTTTCATCAACCTTGAGCATGAACAATATCATGTAATAATCTAAAGCCTCCTTCCCAGAGACAATTAAAAAAAAGATAATTTTCTCCAGCAGAAAGGCATGAGGTCCAGAAAAGAGGAAGTGACACTTAATAACAAACAGTCTTTATCTGTAGAATATAAATATAAGAATAATGTGATAATCAATGAAAAAGATTTCTTTGAATATTTATATTTCTTCATATAGCAGAAATCCTCATTTATACTCTTTCCTTATTTAATCTTCTCCTCATCAGTGGGATAAAAACATAAGTGGAACATATTATGTTTCTGCATTGTCTTTAAACATTCACAAATGTTATTTACATTTCCTCCACTGAGTTAATATTGACTTTACTTCCCTGATGTTCAGCTGCCCAAAAACCACCTGCTTGGAATCTGTGAGGTATTTTACAAAAA